ATTAAAATATATAATAAGTTTAATTATTATTATATAAGGTTTTTATTTATTATTATTATTATAATACTCTAACTAAGCTAAATAACCTATCTAATATCTCTATAATAATAAACTTTAAGAAAAACTAAAGTACCTAAAGAAAAAACTTAGCTCTTATTATAAAGTAACTTTAATTCTAAGTTATTATATAAATAAGTCTAGTTAAAAGACCTTTCTTTATATTAGCTTAAAATAGATATAAATAAGTAAGTAAGTAAGTAAAAGAGCTTATTTACTTATATATTATTTTATATTTATCTTTATACTAGGTCTAGTACTCTTAAGAGCTTTAATAAACTAAGAAAAGTAGTAAATAAAAATATAATATATTTTTTAGCTTATAACTAACTTAAAACCCTTATAATATTATATTATTATAATCTCTTTATTTATATTAATTTTAATATTCTTTTAAATTATATATATTTTTATATAATTATAATAAATACTTAGGTTATATCTTAGTTTTATAATAGTCTTATATCTTATTCTTAATTACTTATAGACTTTTTTATATTTTTATTTATTAGTATATTTTTCTTTATTTTTATAATATATTAATATTAATATATATACTTAAGCTAAGCTAAATTAAAGAGGTTAGAAGAGATAACCTTTTAAGAACTTTTCTTTTTCTTTTTCCCTTTTTTAACCTTAATTAATTATATATACTTTATTACTTCTAATATTTCCTTTATCTTTACTTTTCCTTTACTCTCTTTTCCTAGCTTTATATAAGTTTTTAATTAATTATTATATAAAAACTTATTTTTTTTATATTTATATTATATAAGTTTCTTCTTTTAATTTTATATTAAGTTTAAATTATAACTTTTTAACTTTTTAATAAAACTAATATTAATTAAAATATTTATATAAAATAATATAATATATATTATTTTTATTTTAACTTTATTATAAGTATTAATTACTTAATTTATTAATATAGTTTTACTTTTAGCTTTAATTTAAATTTACTTATTTTTTAAAATATTCTATATTTATTTTATTTTATTATAATAACCTTAAAAGACTTTATTTATTTTTACTTTATTTATATATATTTATCTTATTTTTATATTAAACTTAGTATCTCTTTAAAATATTTATTAAAATCATTTATATTATATACTAAAGTTTTATTATATTATTATAAGTCTATTTTATTTTTATATTACTTTTACTATTAACTTAATATTTTAGTTTTAGTTTTATATTAAAGAACTTATTATTATTACTTAGGTCTAGTTAATAATTAACTTTAAAGTTATTTTAAATATAGCTTAAAACTTTTTTAAGTTTTAATTATTTTTAAATTAAGCTTTTATTATTTATAACTAAACTAATAACTAAACTAAAATTTATTATTTTTATATTATAGGTAGTCTAGCTCTTATTTAAGCCTATATTATTATTACTTTTATCTTTATCTTTATATTTATTATCTCTTAAAAAGACCTAGCTTCTATTTTTTAAGAGATCTTAGCTATAATTTAAAACTTAACTATAGCCTTTAATACTTAGACCTAAACTAGGACTAGTTTAAATCTAGTTAATAATAATAATACTAATAATTAGGATTATATTAAAAAAAGGAAAATAAAAAAAATAAAGAAAAAGATTATAATTATATTAATTTTATTTTAAACTTAAAGTTTTTAATATTTAATAAAAGTAAAATAATAAATATTTTATTTTTATAAAAATACTTATAAACTAGCTTTAAGTTAATATTAATTATTTAAAATTTATTAATAAATATTTTTAAGACTAGTATTATATTTATACTAAAGTAAAATAATATTAAAAATACTTTAACTATAAAAGAAGGTATTTAGCCTTTATTTTTTATATATATTTAAATAAAAAATAAGTCAATATAATAAAATAAGTTTTTTAATAAGATTATATAGCTTTTAGATTAGAGTTATAGTAATTTATATATTAAAAAACTATTAAATATTTTATTAATTATTATTTCTTTATTTTTATTTTTTCTTAGTACTTATTTTATCTTTTATATATTTATTCTATAAAATAGTATAAGTTAATAAGTAAATAAGCTAG